CTACACAATGGGCTATCTGTGCTCTGCCCACCACGGGTATCGAAACCCGGATTCTAGCGTTGTAAGTCCGCAGACATACCACTGTGCCACTGGGGGGCCACCATGTTAGTAATGCACGGTATAGGGTTATCTAATCATTCACACTTAATATAACCATGTTAATAATGTACGGTATAGGGTTATCTAATCATTCACACTTAACATAACGATGTTAGTAATGCACGGTATAGGGTTATCTAATCATTCACACTTAACATAACCATGTTAATAATGTACGGTATAGGGTTATCTAATCATTCACACTTAACATAACCATGTTAATAATGTACGGTAAAGGGTTATCTAATCATTCACACTTTTGTTTTTGTAGAGTTCAGTAAAACGTTCTTAAAGGAGGAAAATCTTGGACGATTGGTTGACCTTTGAGACACCAGGGAAATAACTAAAAGATATATCAAGGATTTCTCACCCGATATTGGTTGAACGTATAAATTGTGAGATATCAATGCTTGTTAAGCACTAGAGTTATCTTGTGACGAAGGATTCTTTAAAGCGCCTTATATTCCAGTTTAGAACTATTCAGCAGTAACTACTTCTTTAAAGTCATAAATAATAGTAAATCAAAGATAACAACCAACATTTTAAAATCTGAACAACAACAACAAAAGATTATGAAACCTAAATTAACAGAATGCTTTTGAACCCATTCTGAAGATCTCTGGTCATAAAATATTAATACATCAATGTGCAAAATGCACTACTAATTGGAAAACTATTGGCCAAAGTTACAAGCTGCCAAAGAAAACTTTTTAAGTGTTTGTTTCATTTATATGTAGCTTAACACAGGGAAGTTTACCGAAGTCAACTTATCGAAGATCTTTGGTACAGAACGATCAGATATTTCATTGTGATTAAAACTGGTTTCGTTTCGAAAACTGGATATGCGACAAATTAAGAAACAATCAATATAATAACCGAAGTGACAACTGTTTTAGTGTGGATACATCTCAGAAGCTTCGTTAGCAAGTAGACCTATAATCTATGTTATGTTTATTTTCTACTTGATTGCCCACCACTGTATCGAAACCCGGTTTCTAGCGTTGTAGCTCCCCAGACATGCCGCTGGAGGGGGGGGGGGGCTTCTACTTAATTATTAATATAATATCTCATTCTTGAGCAGAAAACAAAGTAATTTGATTACAACTTGAAAAACGTTAAGTGAAAGTAACACAGTATTTACGTTATCCTTAAACAAGGTCTTCTTATACGTAAAAGCTTTCGTAAATACTGTTTGTAGTTCCACAAATCCCGTACATTAATGAGCTTATTTATACGATTGTGTTTATCTGAGATTTATATATATATATATATATTTTCTTTTTCAAAACACTACAAATAGATCTTATTGAAATGTACATATAATGTGTATGTTTTGTTCACAAGTACTGTTACAGTATGCAAATGTATTATTATGATAGATTCATGATTGCAAGCAACCATTATGGAACAAACAGAAGGATCATGAATTTTCAATAGCAGTGTTTCTCAACCTTAAAAGGATAATCACATATTTGAAAAGAAGCAGAAAAGTAGAAACCATTTATCCAGGTGTGACGCCATATTTCATATAGATTTAATTTTCTGTTTTTATTTATAATCCTGGATAAGGCATAAAAAACGACAGTTAATTCAGTTCAGAGTTAATAAATTCTAAAACATTATCTTCATTGACTTTTCTACTAAACATTTATATACCATTTTCTCAGTTTTTTTTAATCTTTTTATGCTACCATTTTAAATTATCAAGGGCAATATTTAATTAATTTTTTTTTCATAATGTTAGTTTTATATAACACTCACACATACATCTTTATACTATGTTTAAAATGCTTTTTTTTTCATTAGGCATAACTTAGTGATGTCCCACCCCCAATTAATTACTTCAATTACTGGCATAGTATCATTGTTGTGTTTTGCAAATAAGAAAAAAGTATAAAAAAATTCAGGAATAGCTACTTTGTCAAAGGTGTATAATACAAAAATCAGGTTCTTGAAATGAATTTGGTAATAACTTCTGGCTCTGGTGTTGAAGCATCACTAAGTCACCAAAAAATATCTACTGTCAAAAACATTCTAACACACACACCTCAAAACCAGTAAATATATCAGTGTGAAAACATTCCACACTGAAGAAAACATGAACTAATTTCAATTAAAATATGAAGACAAGAGTAGTTATACGTTGATGCTATGTTACATTTCTGACATACCGTGTGAGGTGTTTAATTCGGGCACTTGGTGTTCGCAAGAGGACTGCTTCTGGCTGTACACACACTTTCCATGGTGTCAGAAACACAGAAAATTCCACCCTGAAGAAAAATCAGTAAATTAAATTTATGTTTAAAAGTCTTTAAACTTCATTTACATAAGTTTTATCTATTTTTTTTTCATTGTTTTGTTGTTAAAAGCCCACAGTTCCACAGTGAGCTCTCTGTGCTCTGCCCACAACAGTTATGGAAACCCAATTTTTAGTCATAAGCCCTCAGACTTACCACTGAGCCACTGGGACCGTGGCTCGTCCTCATCGCATGTCTTACCATTAATTTTAAATAGAAAATGTTTTCTACTGATCTAAGTAGGGCAGATCAAATAATACGTGCATAAAATTACTCTAGCGTTTATACCTCTTTCTGTATCCAAGTGTTTAAGCAATTATAAGTGGCATTGTGATAAGGCCACATAATATCGGATATTCGCTGATTTCCCATTTAAACCTAACCACACTAAGCATGTGTCTCATAAAAATGAAAAAAAAAGAAAAAGAAAGATGCACATCGTTGTGACACGTGAAAAGTTTCTCAGCTGTTACGTTTTTTCTCGCGGGATTTCTAGAGATTGGAAACGACTGAGAACCACATTCATCTAATGATGGTGGTTTCGCACTTACGCAACACTCAAATTTTATTGATCCACTGGGGAAAGTCATCGAGCTTCCTCCTCCCCCTCAGCACGTGAGATCTTTATATTTACAAAGACACACATAAAAACACGTCGGCTGATTAACAGCGCCTAAGTTAATAGAATAACCTTTACCTTCTACGTGAATTATTTATATTCTAATATAGAAAAAAAAAAGTGAAAGTGCTCTTTATTTCCTTTTATAATTAAAGTCTAAATACAAAAAAAAACTTATGTTTATATCACACATGTTATGTTACATCAGTGTTTCGTTTGTTTGTTGAGTTTCATGCAAAGCTACTTGAGATCTATCTACCCTAATTTTCAAGTGGCAGATTACAGACTATAGGCACGTAGCTTATAACATCCAACGTAAACTTTTGTTAAATCAAGTTTGTTTGTTTGTTTGTTATGGA